TTTTCAAGTAGTATTAAAGAGATATATTTTTTCTTTGGAGATATCTAGCCTTTCATAAGTTATATGAACTACACTTTGACTAATGTTAGATTTGCTAGTACGCCGCACTACACGAAAGCTACTAAAGGCTAATTTTTATTGGTTCAAACAATATTCAGTCATACTGCGTTGTTTTGTCTGCAAAGAAATGTTCTTCTAACACTCAATCTCCTGGGAAAATTAGCACTTCATTCATAATTCATCCTCCCAGTGCATTGAGCACATATTCGCTGAGCTGGCAATAGGCTTTTTATGAACAATCTCCCATGTCTAATTTCATTTGCCTTGGGAGATCTTACCTGATTGAAACTGGAATAGAGGCAAGTGCCTATTTTGTTTCTTGCGTTCCTATCGTACTACTTCGATATATCAGCATTAATTAGAGGTTAAAGAGTACCTTTATAGCGTTACGTATAGCCTATACATGCTTTTTTATATTTCGTGCTCAAATTATTAACCGTCCGCGAGCGTATAATGAGCGTGGTATATAGTCATATTCTTACATGACATGCATTTCATTATTATCATGGTTTCATCGGTCATATACCTTTGATTTATATGGACGTCACGTAACACCATATTTGCTATATGTGAAGATAGCGAAACAGCCGCGGTCACGCTATGAGCGAGGCTTGCAGTCATGTTTTACATGATATGCATGTCATGATTATTATGTTTAGGCTTGTCGTTTACCTTCATCGTCCCTTCGCGCCACGTAATGCAAAATTTGCTATATGTGAAGGTAGCAAATTGACTGCGAGCGCATCATAAGCATGGTATGTTGCCATGTTCTTACATAACACGCATCTCTTGATTATCATAATTGGACCAGTCATATACCTTCGTCATCCATTCACGTCCCGTAATACCTAAATTAGTATATGTGAAGCTAGCAAACGACCATGAGCGTACCATGAGCGTGACTTACAGGACATACATGTCATGATTTCCACATTAGGGTCTGTCACTTATATTCGCTATGCAGTCTTGTCATATCATACCAGTTTTTCAATACGTCATGTGAACGAAAACACCACAAAACAGAAAGGCCATGAAATGTAAATCATAGTACTCGTAACACACATGTCATGATGTTTATGTTACATGTCATTTATGCTCAACCTGGAGTCATGTTATGTCATACTAATTTTGGTATAGATCCCATTATCGAAACGGCCAGGAGAGCTAAATACGCAGGCGGCTGAATAGATAGATAGATAGATAGATAGATAGATAGATAGATAGATAGATAGATAGATAGATAGATAGATAGATAGATAGATAGATAGATACTATCTATCTATCTATCTATCTATCTAGCTATCTATCTATCTAGATAGCAGACTGTAATCGTTAATGGTGCCAGTTCGTGCTCACCGCAGGTAAAATCGGGCGTCCCCCAAGGGTCGATACTGGGACCACTTTTATTTCTGATTTACGTCAACGACATAACTGCAGGTGTAGAATCCCACATACGGTTGTTCGCAGATGACTGTGTTTTGTATAGGAAAATTACGGATTCGCGGGACAAAGCGTTCATTCTGAGAGACTTGACCAAAATCAGTGATTGGTGTACACGATGGCACATGCAGTTGAACTTGATTAAGACAGTTTACATGGAGTTTACTCGTAAGAATTTACAGTCTCAGACATCGCACACAATTAACAATCTCATTATAAGTAAGGTTAATGAATACAAATGCTTAGGAGTGCACCTATCATCTAACTTAAATTGGCATAGACATGTTGACTACGTAACAGGCAAGGCCGGGAAAGCGCTTGGGTTCCTTCGCCGTAACGCAAAGAACTTTAATATGTCGACTAAAGAATTGCTTTATAAAACATATGTGCGTTTCATTCTTGACTATGCGTGTGTCGTCTAGAACCCCTCAACAGTATGTGACATAGAAAAACTTGAAAGTGTGCAGAACTTGGCCACTCGACTTGTTTGTGCACGTTACGACAGAGAGTTCAGTGCTACGCTCGCGAAAGAATTATTGTAATGTGATACACTAGATTGTCGAAGACGCAGACTTCGCTTGAAGTTTTTCCACAACATCTTTCATTCAAAAGTTGGCATTGATAGGCATCTTTACATAGAGCCGCCTAATTACTATTTCCATAGAATTGACCATAAGAATAAGGTTATGGAATTTCCCTGCAGAACACATTCCTTTAGAGAGTCATTTTTTCCTAGAACAATACGGGACTGGAATCAATTAGACAAGTCTGTCGCAACTATATCATCCAATGACATATTTTTTTCATTGATAAAATAACTCTTCTTGTATTAGAGTTGCTGTTAACTCATGTTACTGCTAGTGATGACTGCTATATGCTTGTAATTGTATTTTCCTGTATTGTACATTCTTGTTCATCTATTTATGTTTTTCTCACCATAATACACTTCATTGTTAAATTAATTAATGTATTCTTGTTCACTTGCAATCTTGTTTTTGTTTTATTTTTGCACAATGATTCACTAAGGTGCACATTAGTGTACACTCGTGACCTTCTTGTATATGTATTTGTTTCCCTGATGCTGCTAGCGATTGTTACCATATGTATTCTTTGAATTTTTCTTTGCACACCCCCCCCCCACTGTTATGCTATGTGGCGCTGTGGGTATGGCATAAATAAATTAATAACTAGATGGATAGATACATAGAAATAAAGATAGATAGATAGATAGATAGATAGATAGATAGATAGATAGATAGATAGATAGATAGATAGATAGATAGATAGATAGATAGATAGATAGATAGATAGATAGATAGATAGATAGATAGATAGATAGATAGATAGATAGATAGATAGATAGATAGATAGATAGATAGAACAAGAAGACTAAAGGAAGGAAGGTTAACCAGATGTGCGTCTGGTTTGCTACCCTGCCCTGAGGGTATGGGGAATGGGTATCAAATTATGAGAGGAGAGAAGGAGAGGACTTCTCGCACAAATATGTACAGTCACTCAATGAGGCCGGGAACTTTTCTGACCAGCATGACGTCAACATTCAGACATGTGACAAGGAAATTGCGGCTTTGGAGGGTTCGTGGGTCATCCATGTGGACCAGTGAAACGCTGAAAAGATTTGATTGAGTGTCTCTAGCAGTGTAAGGGCCGTTTGAACTGACGGAGTATTTAGCTTGTTCAAAAGCACAAATACGGTTTCCAGGAGGGATCGTAGCGTCGCTGATATATATATATCAGGTATCTAGGTACCTATAGTTTTGTTTGTCATTCACTTTTTTAGGAACGCTTCGTCAGGTGACTTGAGAAAGTTAAGTTTTAGTTGACCCCTGAAACCTATTGAGGGCCCAATGAAAAGCTTCTTACAACAAGAAGTTTTGGGTGGTTGAGTAGGGCCCGTGAAAGCCTAATGCAAGGAGGTGAGCTTGAAGCTTCTGGTTCTAGCCCGGTGAAAACTTCACTAGCCCATTTTTAATTCCCTCTGTGCCCTCTTCGGCATCGGAGCAACTCGAAACCGGAAGATTACACGACACAGGCGCCTTAACACGTCTTGCGTACATGAGGTTACATTCGCATGACATTCCAAGCTCGTTTCGGCGTTGTCTGTGTTGAATACACTGCTTATGTTTGTAAATTGGCTTCTTCTGTGCACGACCTTTCAAAAAACTGGTCTGGATTATAAATCTTTACCCCAACGCACAGCATTAAGCCGCGCTAGAACTGCTTTGAGGGATGATGCATCACTGGTGCGCGCTAACTCCACATGCATCAGTATCTACGCGCTGTACTCTCATGGTGAAGAGGCTACACAATCCGCTTTTCTCCGCAGAGTGGCTGTATTACGTGTCCAGTGCTTTGTACAATTTCGCGAGACGGCATTCAGAAAATATTCAGTTTGGTTGCTATCGCATTCATTGTTTCGTCCATGTTGACGGTTAAGCATTGACTTACTAGGCTTTACACTATAGTACTTTTTAAATAATTTGCAATGAGATGTATAACTTGCAATAATCGCCGTGAAAAGGCACGCGCTGGTAGAATATGTTCAAGTGCTATGCAGTGAAGGCGAGGTCAACTGAAACTTCGCAACAAAAGACGTTGTGGTTGTTGATTTCAAAAGTCATTTTCTCCCTGTAAACAAAAATTACTCTTTCTGTATATAATACCAACAGAAAATGATACACAAATATGTAGTATCCATTTTTGTACATGAACCGCGGCTTTGCGAAGACGCGCATTATGAGACAAAATAACATTTTTCAACTTTGTCACATTGCGGTGACAAGGTTATTGCTTTTTTCACTCCCGAATGATTGTGTCAGTTCTTTTACGAAATTACGAAGCCTACAATAGAAGTATATTGCTCACAGAAAAATGTTTGCCTTTACCAAAATAAAAATTGCTTAACATCCAGAACTTCGCATTGCGTTGTCGAGGCCCAAAATATGAAAGTTAAAAGAAGAGTATGCAACGCAGTCATAAAATATCGCCTCCTTAAGACTGAGAAAAATGTTTCGTACTGCTAGCTTAAACTTAAACCAGTAAAGTATATACATTATTTATGGATGCGCAGTTTCACTTCCATGCGCAGAGTTTGAAGCGCCCTCTATGCGCCAAGTGTTTTTTTTCCTAGAATTAAAACGCCTCAAATAGTACCTACCACATTCACAAATATTGGCGCAGTACATATATATATATATATATATATATATATATATATATATATATATATATATATATATATATATATATATATATATATATATATATATATATATATATATATATATATATATATATATATATATATATATATATATATATATATATATATATATATATATTCTTTAAAGTGCGAAACAGCCGAATGACATGAAAAAAAAGTACCACTCAAACACTGGGAACGAAAACTTTATTTTTAGGCTACCCGCATCGCAAACAATGAACAATGTTCAAAAATGAAGGAAAACACAATAGCGAGAATAGAGAAAAAGGGGTGAAAACATGTTATAAAAGTGATTTTTTTCCTAGTTTAAGCAATCGTAGACATTATAGAAAAGGCGCCTTGGCATACAGGTGTCTGTCAGGGCGCTAAATTGCATATTTTTGTCCACAGGAATCGACAATATCACTTGTCTAACTAAGACCTCTGTGTATAACTTCGCTCAACGGGTAGTAAAACTGTTGATTCCACATTTCCTTTGTCACTTCGAGAAACATCATTGCCGAAACTCCGGCAACCACATTTACGTTCCGTCCAGCCCCATCAACATCAGCCTGAATGTTCTCAGTTGTCCCGGGAATAGTGAATCCGTTGTAAGAAAGTTTCTTCTCTCCATCTTCGTTGCTTAGGCCCACGTGGAACTGCACCGTGAAACGAGATAGCGTTGAGCGCAGGCTAAATGTGCCTTGATGTCCAGAACAGTGCTTCCAGGGTGTTGCGATCAAGACGTCACCAAAGTTAATGAAGTCCACTTGAACCAGGCGGGTGCCGTTCCGGCAGTAGGGCATCACGGGTCCATACTGGTGCAGCTTGTGGAACCCACTCACGTTGGATCCACTTATCTCAAATCCAGCGAAAACTGGGTAGTACTTTTCGGGGCCAATTATCTCGTATTCTGGAAATTGGGCGATAAGCTTATCAATCGCATCTTCCACGCTGACACTGGAGAAGTCAGAGGATGGTACTGCTATAGCAAAACATATTGTCACAAGTTGTTTCAGGGAAAATTAGTGTATGTCACATCTCCTTTTTAACTTGCCCTAATCAAAACATCTGTTATAGAAGTGGAATGTGTTTACATGTATTACAAAAGAACAACAAACTCTATACCTTGGGGGATTACTGCTCGAATGATACGCAATAATAAATTTGAGCTGAATATCTTCAAATATTTTAGTGCATCATCCTGGTTTGTGAAGCCGACTTCTGCGAAATTAGTGTCTGAAAGCGAAAACCTCAGGTGGCCCATCAAGTTGAAAAATGACAGGCATCCCGTATTAGCTTTGTCGGCATGACTAATTCAAACAGTTTCAAAATATGTTAGCATTATCGTAAGACGCTATCCTGGTAGCACAAGTCACCAACCTTTTTATCATCATTATGATATCGCTATGAAGGCGCACATGGACGTCGTCAACCTTGTTTGGTCACAAGTGGGCCACTAACGGACGCAGTGCAATTCTAGACGAAGTGCGTTGGATAATGCAGGCAGAGATAAACCACAATAAACGCTGAAAACATTAAGAGAGTTGCGAGGAAGTTCTCGCTTGATTGCATAAAGAATCCGGACAGTTTGTTTCCGTGGAATGTATCCAACAATTTCTTTCGTTTCAAAATAAACATACATGGACAGACCTTACCTGAAGAGACAACTGCCATTGCGGACGACACAGCGGTGAAGGTGAGTGCCAAGAACAGATAATGAAAATTCATGGTGGGTTTCATACTGCAAAAAATATAAACAATGAATGATTGAAATGGCGTTCCGGAAAACGCCATAAGGAGGTCCTAGGGTTCTTATTTCAAAATAGAAAGTACCGTAACGTCAGAAGAGTCTAGCGAACTTTACGCGAAACTTCCAATTAGAAAACACAGACTGAGAACGCATACTGACTCTTTGAAAGGTATAGTAAACACCATGATGTTTCGCGTGGTTATTTCTGCATCTATCTTCTTTCCAAGAACTCATTATTGACTACTTGAGTCAGCACAAATTTACTCAGCAATTATTTATGGTAGCACTGTATTCTCCTCCTCCTGAATAAGTATTCTCAGCATCCACTGCGTTTGTCGTCACGCTGTCCTTCCGGGAAAAGTGTGCTGAAGTAGCAAATACACGTGGCATAACGCAAACAGTCCTCGTTATTGTCAACAAAAATTGTATCTTCTTCAAAATTCAGTCTAGGATAATTTATATTACATAAACCTGTAGTTTCATATATGCACACACATCTACTCTTCTGAATGCTTAACTGTAGTGCTTTTTAGCGCCATAGCGGGTAAACTCAACTTCCATCTCCACTGATAAGCTAGCACATAACTCAGGTACTGGACAATATAAGCAGAACATCGGTTAATAGTCTAAATACAATGTATGTACTGAATCCTTGCAAATAGGAACTTTTTATGCTTTCTGCTTTTATGGGTAGCTGCGACGAAGTGGGCTGTTCCTTAAGATTATTACATAATTTACTATTTTTCACAAAACGTACCTTGCTTACTCAGCAGTTGCTAGTAATCAAATAGCAAAATTTCTTATGCCAGATACTGAGTCACAAAAAATTAGACACAATCTCGAGTAAATAAAGTACTGTTAATTGCATTACCAAAAAAAAAGTCCCGGCTTTGCTGCAAAAGTGAAGCAATGAACGCGATAGCAACAAGTCGGAAAGTCACGCGCAGAATGGACAGCAGATCAAAACGTGCCCCACGTTTCTCACGCACAAATTACGCACGAAACGTACTCACAGGTACAGATGAACGCGAATAGGCGTCTCAGTTGTTACTTCGATGTGTCTGAAAAGTGTGCCCTTTTCGCAAATGGAGTCTGTGCAACAGCTATGGTAACTTTGTGCGCCCGGTAATTACAACAAAATCGTTCAGACGAAACCCCAAGTCTAGCCAACATGTACGATCTTTCCCCATGCAAGATAAGGGCGCGAGATCGAGCGTAGAACCACTTATTCTCTGCGTGGGCCAAAGTCCGCGTGAGAGATGAGACCCACCGCGCGCTCACTGCGCCATTTTGCTAATAATGCTGAAAACACTGTAGTTCGATCCCCCCCCCCCCACGAGATGCCTTCCAACAACAGTTAGTGGTTGATATAAATAGCTTGCTGTTTAAACGTCCAAGGAAATACCCCATGGTTGCTCAGTGTTTAAAGCTTCACATTCACGACGTGGAGGTCCCACGTTCCATTTCGCGCACCCGATTTTAGATGCGGAGCATCTTATACTCGCGCCTTGTAGTGCGCCGTCCGCACCGCTTCTCGAACATTCGACAGCTGACGCGCGCGCATGCGCCGTCGCGCCGTCGCCCACTCTTCCACCATCTGTGCATCCCTTCCTCCTCTACACACCGCGCGCGCTTCACTCCTCCACCATCTGTGCACCCTTCCTCCTCTACACACCGCGTTCGACATCTACAATTCTCCTGATTCTCCAGTGGACGCGCATGTGGCGTCGCGCTTCGAGAACATTCAACAGCTGACAGTGCATGCGCCGTCGTGCTGTATATATACTCAAGGTCGGCGCTCGCTCGCTCAGTTGCCGCTCGTCGGTTGGTTTGTACGGCGCGTCGACGTCCAAGGTCGCGGTGAAATGAATTCCAACGAATCCACAAACACAATGATCGACGTCCCTTCGACCAGCGCCGCCCTTTCGCATACGTGTGTAAGTGTTCACTCATTTAACACCCCCTCCTACAACCACGTTAACCAATTTAGCCATCGACCCAAGTAAGTCGCAATTTAACACCCCATTTCACAACCACGTTAACCAATTTAGCCATTTCTTTCTGGATTTTCTTCCTTCTTGCGTTTTCTTATATATAGATACTTATACATATATGGTGCATGACAGCGACGCAGCGCGGTTGTCAAAATCCACCTGAGAGTGTCTATATAATTGCTATCACAATAAAAAAAGAATAAAAGCTATGAACAATATTTCTTCAAAAAAGCTCCTAAGAAAGAGATACCTGATTTTCACCGAAGACTGACCACATAGAACATTTTCAGTCTTTCGCTGGATTATTGCAGGATCTATGGCTAAATTAAGCGCCAACTCTGAAGCAGCAGCCTGGAATGCCTTGTCTGCAGGCGCCTTATATAAGAAAGCTGTTGACGTCGCCGGTTGCTCTTTCAGAGCTGACATTGTGCGATATCCTTGTATCCTCCAAAGAAGCGTACAGACATGCCCCGTACAACTCGTCGCAGACGTCGGCAGAACGTAAACATTGAGGTGCCTTGAGTCGCTAACAAGATCAGATTGGTGACGACTCGCACGTGCTGGCGGCCGCCACGAAATGCCACCTTCTTGGCGAAACGCTGACATCTCGATGGGGTTCGTATGCTCGCTTAAGTCGTTGCATGCGTTGGACTCAACTGTGTTCGTAATAAACAGTGAGGCAAATGCCCTACAAAAAGGATATATGCATTGCTTCTCTCATGTTGTCATATAGGGTTTGTCCAAATCATTGTTTACGTCTAGAACGAATTTATACTCATTTAAAGTATTTTTATTCTGTTGCCGCCTTAATGCGAATGTATTACTGACGTTCCCTATAAGGCGACAAGTGGCAAAAATAGGTGTTACCAAGTGGAAGAAGCACTGACATCAAATTTACTCATTCCAAGATTTCTGCGTCAGCGGGTAGCTATAGACTCCGTAGCAGCGATTCCAGACCCAAATTGCAACTGAGAGATCAATAACTATCACTTTTATTGATTTATATCACTGGTACCCAGCACGATTCAAAACGACTGGCAATCCCGCCATTTTTAGCACTGGGAGCATCAGCAGTGGCGTTACCTCGCGCTCACCTCTGCAACACGCCACAGCTCTCCACAAAAAAGAGTGACGTCAGGCTCAGCTGCTCCGCCAACATTTCGTCTGCAAGGCGGACACATTCAGTCATTTTTTGTCACTTGCATTACTGTCGTCGCCGTACAAAGTGTCGACTCGGGTTCAATACGGTAGTCTAGAGCTTGGAATCTCCGCGATTGGAGACGTCGAGAAGTATTTTAGCTTGGATTGACCTTTTGCAGAACAGTGATTCCTAAATGGACACCGTTCCAAGCAGCACTGCACAGGTGCCCGAGGATGCACGCTTCAGCCATGGTCGCTCATGTGTTTTAGTAAGCTATATTGGTGTGTTTTTGCGTCAAAGTATTCAGGTATATGCAGAGAATTCAATTCAATATAGCTATCGCCAATGAGCATCAGCGGAAAAACAGAATACGTTTCCTGCTTTCCAGGTTCTTTTTTGCGCCTCCAGATGGCCCCACCTTTCAAGTCTCTTGCGGTTTACATGGCACTACCATTTTTACGTGGACGCAAAGTTTACAGATGAACTAAAATTCAACAACACTTGCGCGTTACTTCTTAGCGATAATATCTGGCTATACGCTGTTTCACTTTTGAAAGCTTGTGGTCGTGTTGATGTGTAACACATACGTGCTATGAAAGGAAACCCTCAATGCACTTTTTCCGTGCTTCCAACTAGACGACTGCAACTGACCTGTAACTCACAACAATTCCCCAACATGCTGACCGAGAAGCACACATTTATACATGCTCTTTTCCTTCGCCATTCTTTTAAAGGTAGTTCGTATCTTGATAATCTCACCAAATTATTCAAACTGGTGCGACGAAGACCAAACGTGACGATCGAGTGCGTTTCTGCGCTTCAGCGCCAGTCGGCGTCAAGATTAGAACACTAGGATCGTTTACGTCATTGCTACTAGGGTGTAGTCACTCCAGATGGTATTTGTGGAATGTACCGCACCGAACACTTAGCACTAGTGTCGATATCACAGCGCAGCCTATCTTTCGTTTTTTCTTTTTAGCTTTTCTACGCTCTTTGACATCAAATTAAAATAACTTTCACGCGACGGATGCCGTTCAAATTTGGCCAAGAAGACCTATGCGTACCAAGTGAGCCAATGATGGGCACATCTCAATCTCGAAATTTGATGTCAGTGCTCCTTTAACACAACTACACTATATAGTAGACGTTTATTGCCAATGTACGCCAGTCTTCGTCTGAGCTCGCAGTTCTTGTACTGTTGACTGACAAGCCACATCAAGTGACCAGAAACGAAAATAATATTTTACTCCTCTTCAAAGACGTTTAAGAATGATGTCCTACAAAAGCAGCGGCACGCCTACAAGAAGACAAACGAAATTATAGGTGTGTGTTGATTTAACATACAAAGCAATACTTTTTTTCAGATGATGGTAGTTGACATGAGGGCTCAACCGCCCCAAAACCACCATAATATTATGAGATACGCCGTGCTTGTGGGTCTCAGAAATTTCGATCACTTGGGGTTTTTTAACGTGCACCCAAGTCTGAGTACGTGGGCCTACAGCATTTTCGCCTCTGTCGAAAATGCAGTCGCCGCAGATGGGATTGGATACCGAGACCTGCGGATCAGAAGTGGAGTATCTTCGCAAATAGACCACCTAGGCGGGGTTCCCGGATGACTGTGCGAAGTGTCATTGATGAACATGTTGCAAGATACCATTCCTTCGAAATCCAGAAACCCGTAATAGAAAAAAAAACAGTAGGTGTATACATAACGATTGGTTGCCTTTACAATACCGTTGACTTCGCATGCTAACTGCAGAGGCATAATTTCCAGTTTATCACGTTTTAATGAACAAGGATGATTCCTTCACAAAGCATTTCATTTTATTACCAGGGTTTACTGCATA